GTTGGATTAGTCCATATTTGACCCAAAGTTGGGTTGAAACAACCCTACATTTTTTAGAGTGTATCATTTTTAATTGCTACTAGAAAACGATCAAATAAATAAAATAAAATAGTCAAATAAACTAGGAAGGAATGGGGCATCAAAAATCTTGCATCCTTTGGTTTCTTTTATAACTCTCTCTGACACAAACACACCAATGGGATTAGGCCTTGGGACAATATTCTGTTTTTGCGGCCTCCCCTCTGCAGAGGGAATGATAAAAGGAAAACTCTTCCTTGCCAATCACTATGGCCTCCATGTAAATTCAAAGGCCTGTGGCCTGTTAATCCAAGGATAATGAGAAAACCCCTGAGTACAAAAAAGGAGCACCTCCCACCCGCGCCCCGAGCACATATTCACAGCTAACACACACTGGGCACAACAATCTCCTCCATGCCCCCCTTTCAGTGGCCCAAATGATGTGTAATCCCAGTCTAAACATGACAGGCAAAAGGCTGTGATATTGAGATAAGGACTGAGGCGTTGAACAATGGCGCGAGATACAATGCCTAAATCAGCCATCAATGGGCTTCTCGATCCGAGCATATGGTCATATGCTTTGGATACTACGGCCTTATAGTGTAACAAGCTACTTTGGGATTTGTGTGTTTAGATTTATTCAAAAGTATGAGCTTTATAAGAATGTCAAATCAAAAACCTACACATAAATCCAAAACAAACTTTATATTTTCTAGAGGGAGGTAAAGTAAGAATAGTGTGCCTTGTGATTTTACTATGAGCCAAAAGTAAGATTAAACGTTGAACTGTTTCATGCCAAAATTCCCCAAATATGGAAATGGCAACCTCTTGTGGGCAGTCGGAGTATCCCACAATGCATGAGTGATTCATGTACAACTCAGTTTCACACCGGTTTTTTTGAGGACATTTCACACCTCATAAGTAGCGAGTGAAAATCGTATAGTGATAGGCAGGTAATGATTTATGGAGAATCAGGAATTTTTTAAATATGTACAGAGAATCAGCAATTTATTTAATATGTACAGACTGAGGATTTTCCACATACATCTGAAAAAAAAAATGCAATACAAAATTCATAATAAAAGAAACAAAACTGGTAATGTACAATGGAAATATTTACACCAAATGCAAAGCAACACAGATTTCACAACAATTAACAGTTTAAATGTCTAAGATCAAGATTACAAAGACGAAAGATTAAAAAACATATTATACATGATTTTGTGAACATAACACTCACACTTCTGTACCACATTATTTTCAATCCCAACTTACACTTTTAAGTTCTAAGAACTTTCTATGAATGCTCAAAACTTCAATTTTTAAATTATACAAGCATTTTGGAAAACACTTAGCTGAATAGGTGTGTAGTCCTAAATTTACAGTACCAAGCAAAAGCACTGGAATGTATGTGTGTTTGTTTTGTGCAGTCACATTGGTGTTAATGTGAGTCTTTTTATTAGCGGACTACAGTTATTGTGAGGGAAAATCTCCTTAGGAGCATTAGCAATTCTTCTTTTTTTCTCCACTCTTTTAGAATAAGACAGCGCTATAGTGTCAGTAGCACGCGTGCATGGAAAGCAAGAAGCCATCCTCATCCACTACTAGAATCCATCAAGGTTTTCATTTTGGTTTGCTTCTAAATAGATTTGATTGCCTTTCATGTTAAACTCAGATTTATTGTAATACTTTTCTGTCATGACAACTCTCGGAGGGATTGGCATGGTAATGT